AAAAAAACAAAAGACATTTAGTTCCCACAGTTCTGGAGGCTGGAAGTCCAAGATCAAGATGCTGGCATGGTCAGGCTCTTGGTGAGGGCCCTCTTCCTGGCTTGCAGGTGCAGGGGGGTATGAGGGGTTGTGGCACAGAAGAGAGAGAGTACACATTAGCTCCCTAGTCTCTTCTTCAATGAGCACTAATCCCATCATAATGTTGCTGTGTGGAACCACCCAGTGACTTGACCCCACACCACAGCCTTGCATGTGGCTTACTTCTCAAAACCACTAAGTTCTCTCTGGACTTTAACACTGATGATCACCATTAACTATGTTTCTGTACAAATAAACAGTACCTGGGAAAGTCACTTTGTGTCTGCTTTAATTTCAGGACAGGATTCCATGGCTCTGCAAGTTACATGACATCTTACTAAGGTAAGAGAGCATCAGGCCTTAAAGAAAACTCATCAGAAGGTAGAGGGGGGAAAATACACTCTTGAAATCACTACTGACTGATGATAAAGGATCCCAGTAATGGAGTGCACTTCTGTCAAGTAACCAACAATGATTTTAATCAACCAGAGACATATAATTTAGTTGGGTTCTAGAGACAGCTTCTAGACAGTTCCACAATTATCTAGGAATCTTGGCAGCCACTTGGCTTCCATAAACCCATTTCTTCATTTGAAAATGGGGATAAATATAGTTCCTACTCACAGATTATTGTGAGAATTGAAATGAGGCATGGGTGGCACTTAGAACAGTCTCTAAAAACGCAGGAAGTGCTCACAAGGGGGTAAGCAGTGCTACCACTGTTACAGCCACATCACCACCATTTCAAGCTGTGGCCAAGCAGGGAAAACCTAGGGTCATTTGTAAGTCAACAGATAATTGGTCACCAGGATTGGAGGCCTAAATCGTCCTGCTCTATATCATGCTTCGCAGCAAACGAGGTCCCCTCCACTCATCCGTGGACCTGGCCCCTGGGAATCCTGGTTGGGATGTAGAGGAGAAAGAAAAGGCAGGGAATGGCTTATAAATCTTGCTTTCTAAAATGAGGACGAAATTTCCTATTTTACAAACCTAAATCATCTGCCCCATATGCAATTAGAATATACTTAAGATGAAAAATTCAGTTTACTTTTTCACACCGCACTGACGTAGCTGGCAAACCCTGTCTTGCATGGGCTTATTAGAGTTTAGGAGTTTAGGGATTCAGAGTTTGAGAACTCCCACCACTTGGGTCTCTATAACATAAATAGACTCGTCAGAGATCGAATACACTGACCTGTGATGTACACAGAAATGGAAGATCCTCAGGAGAGCAGAGATCAGATATCCAGACCCAGAAAAGACAAGCTCCTACCCACGGCTTGTGGGTGGGAAGAGCCAGAAGGCTCAGATAGGAGTTCATATAAGTTCGTTGCTGATGATACACTCCATCCACTGGGTCCCAAGTGTCACTGGCCATAGAGCGAAAGCAGACCTCTTCAGAATTCTCAGTTGGGAAGCAAACATTCTAAGTGCCCAAGCTGGGGTTTACCCTTCACCTCTACTTGAGTCCCTTCCCAGCCTCAAAATGACTGCCTCTCCTGACCACAGACAGGGGCACACTGCAGCTGGGTGGACATGGGGCTCACTTACTTGTGCAGTCTCCGAGCACGCCGGCTTTCCCTCTTTGGTGCTTGTCACTCTGCCTCTATTTCTGGCTCAGATTTTTTTCTTAGCACATCCCTGGAAGCTTCTCATATCCTGCTCACCTTGACCACATACAGTCTGATACTCCCTTTTCTCCTTTCTCCAGCTCTGTACTGGTAACTTTACCAGACTCTTCCAGCATATTGTAGAGCAGGGATGGGGAGGAGCCAGCTGTGAACTTCAAGTCACTGTGAACACCTGTGGAGAACCGAGGTGTGTGTGGTACCGATACCCACCGGCAGCCACCATGTCCGCATGCTGTGGCTGAGCCACATCCTACACTGACACCTACCAAGCACTTCTGTGTACTGGGCACCTTGATAAACTTTTCCTCCCCACACTTCTATGGACAGGTACTCTAAGTAGTCCCATCTAACAGACGATGAACTGATGCTCAGGGAGGTAAACTGCCCAGGATGGCTCAGTTCACTAGTGGAAGATCTTTACCTCAAAGCCAGGACTGCCTGATACTTGACCACCATTTTGTAATGCTTCCCGCTGGCCAGAGAAGTTAGGACTGGAGTCCTTAACCTGGAATTGACACCAATTATTTTAAATGACCTTATTCTTTAGTTAACCCCCCCCCCCCAACTTTTTAACAGAGATGTAGCCTCCGGACAGCATGTGGTTCTAGCCTGTTCAGCTCTGAAGAAAGTGTACAGAGACATCTTAATACGAGGAAAAGATGGTGGACCTCTGAAATGTGAGCAGATGCGGAAGGACAAACAGCCAGCTGAGGTGAAGCTCCTCGTGGTCTATCTGAGTGGGTCGTTTGAGGTCATCTCTGGACGCTTACTCAAAAGAAAAGGACATTTTATGCCCCCTGAGTTACTGCAGTCCCAGTTTGATACTCTGGAGCCCCCATCAGATCCAGAAAATTTCATCCAAATCAATGTGGACAAAAATCTTTCGGAGATAATTGCTACAATTATGGGAACTCTAAGATAACATGAAAACTGTTTCAGATCAGTGGTCTGGAACAATCAGGCAGAAATTTCTATCCCAACTCAAACTACGTTCTAGTATCTTTGTCAATACTGTATTCTAAATTCTTGAGGTGAATCAACCATAGTGTACTGAGATATGTGTGTTTGGGTACGATTCGAAGAATCTGTGGTACTCTTGGCATTGTGCCCTGGCACACTGGAAGGAGACAGGAGGGAACTTTGAAAGTGAAGCTTCACAGAAATTCAAATATGATCAGAGGGAATTCTATAATCAATGCTGTAAATCACGACCTTATTTAGAACATTCTTGATCATGCCTGTATTTGGACAAATAAATGAAACTTGGCTATCCTTGGCATCCCCTGGAAATTGGTCCCAGGAGCAGAAATGTACAAAATTGACCGCTCACCATCAAGTCACATCAGACCATCTGCTAATCCTCTCTCCCAAGATAAATAAAAAGCACATAAGCTTCATGGATATAAAAAGTTGCAAAGGTGGAACTTCGATGGATGAAGCATGGAACTCAGTGCCCCAACTGTCCCCATTCATTTTATGGAGACACCATGAGACCAGGCTGGTGTCAGCCACCTGCTTTTCCACTGCAAAAACCATCAGCAGTGGAGTCTAGGGTGAGGAAGGAACACCAGAGCTGCTGTGGCCAAGAGATGAAATGAACCTTCCCGAAGGTCAGGAATGTGTCAGGAGCAGCTGAGCTAGGTGAGGCTGTGCAGGGTGCATTCTGGGCCCTGGGCAGGGCAGCTGCAATCTGGCCAGCACAGGCTGGGTTTCAGCCTGTCCCCCAGAGACTCCAGAAAGAGGCTCCCTTATCCCTCTATCCTGACCAAGGCCACAGGATCCAGCTACTCTATGGGCCACTGATCAGCTCTGGCCAGAAAGTGAGTTTTGGAACCAGTTATCTAGTTGTTTTCACAAGGGCATGCAGTCTGTCTTGGGAACTACAAGTAGAATATGTGCTTGGCATGCCAGGAGACTGAAAGGGCCCTCCTAGGTAGGCAGACTTTGCTTAAGGAACATGTGAAACCTCAGATCTTCCTCTCTGCCTGGATATCTGAGAGGCATCTCCTGCCTGACTTCAGTCCTCATTATTCAGGGTCCTTCAAGTCGGCCAGTCAACATGCTCAGGCTGGCTGAGAGTCACCCCTAGTCACAGAGGAAAGACTCAGTCCACTGTACTCAGTGGGCCCACTACTGGGTACTGGGATGGGCACTCTGCAGGGTTTGAGGATGCAAAGCTCTGGCTCTCAGGTAGCTTACGTGGGGGTGGAAAGACAGGGCATCTCGTCTCTGGCACCGGCTAGAGTTCTCAGTGAAGGCAGTTGCTCACAAAAAGAAAAGATTTTCAAATATCCTGCTGCACAGTCACAGAGGACCTTGAAAAGCCTGTTTATAATTACAGAGGCACAGAATCTATAAATAAAAATACTTTCGCAGTTGTAACATACCCTGAAATTTGCAAGAACGCCATAAAGGAACAACTGTATTCCTTTTTAGTTTTAATTTTACTTAGAGTCGTCCTTTCAGAAAATCATGGTGGGTTTTTCTGTCATGAATATAACACACCTACATCAATCTGTGTTTGTAATGCTTCATTCACAGTGATCCACCTACAGGCACAAGCATCCAGCTGCTCCACTGTGTTGGTCTAGTGTAACTGTGTCCAAGTGTTACACACTGAAACTCATTAACTGATTACAAGTTACTTTCCCTTTTTCTCATTTAGAGTTAAGGCATCGTATTTACTATTTGCTGGGTAAGTTCTACTACCAATCAGTTTCACTTCAAAGTGGTAAGCAGGGGGGGGGGGGGGGGGGGGGCATTAGAAAATAGTTGTTCAAAAATAAAAAGGAGCACTGAATCTGGTGGGGATGGGAACCAACCACTGCTCAAATCTTCCCCAAGATGGCCACAGGGATGCCAAGGCATGAGCCAGTACTGCCCTCTGGTGGCACCTCAGGGGGACACCGCAAGCACAGGCCACTCTCCCACCCACAAGAACACCTGTGGCAGCCACAGGTCCTGCCCCTGGCTCCCCACCCAGGCCTGACCACCCTTCTGCTCAGCCTCCACGACCTGGGAAGAAGAGGCAGGTGAGACTTGTCTCAACCTGATTTTCTCAACCCTGCAAATAACCATTTAACCACCTGTCCCACCAGGGAGCAAGCTCAGGTTAAATATTTTCCTCTCCTATAAAACACCGCCCGCCTCGTACAATTGGGAGAACAGAGACATGCACAGTGCAGAGACCCAAACTGACACCCCAACTGCTCGACAAATGTTGGCTCTTGTTATACTCGTCACCCCTGGGAGTCTGAGGGAGTGTGGCCACAGGACAAACTCTCACTCCTGCTTTTTGGACTGTGGAGGAGCTTGTGAACCCCTGCTAAGTACAAGGATCTTGAGTCTTTGGGCTCTGATAGGTCTCCTTCCAGCCCTCCCCAGCTCTTGAGGCCTGACAGGATTCCAAGATCTGCGCACCAGCTTTGGAATCAGGAGGCCGGAAAGGCTGAGCTCCGGACACAGCACCGCCACACACTGAGTAACCACAGGCAAGACACCACTATGGGTGTCACCTCCAGGTGCCCCAAAGGTCCGGGAACTGACACCTGTCAGGCCAGGCCTCTCTAGAGACTGCTCTGAGGAGCAAACTACCTGTCAGTGGATGGGAGTGCAAGAAGGGAGAAATTAAAACAGGGTGACTTGGGGCACCCAGGTGGCTCAGTCGGTTAAGTGTCCGGCTCTGCACTGACAGCACGGAGCCTGCTTGGGATTCTCTCTCCCTCACTCTGCCCCTCTCCCACTCATGCATGCAAATACTCCCGAAAATGAACTTAAATAATAAAACAGGTTGACTTTAAAAACAGCATCAACCAGAGATTTTCATTTTCTGAAACTATGCAAGTTTATTCTCCATTCACTCAATAGCAAATCTGTATGTTCAAAATGATTGAAATTACAAAGTATTAACTGTAGTATGGGATTGTGATTGCTTAGCGATTACCAAGGAAGTAGAATCTGATTAGATATCAGCCTACAAGCTATAAGCTGTGTTGGGCCTCAATGCAGGGAGGTGTTTCAACCTTTGCAGAATCTCAGGTGTAAAATGTATAGCCTGGTGCTGATTTCCAGACAATCTTCAATCCCTCCAGTGGAGATTCCCCCCAGCAATCTTAGACGCTGTAGAAACTGAATGTCACTTTTTGGGTTAAGGTTGGAAAATCATGGGCCATCACTCAGGAGGACCCAAGACCTAATGGTGCATATCTAACACATACCTTAACTAAGGATCCAATCAGATGGTGCTGGGGGAAATGTCCCCAAATCATGGCGATGGCGGGACCTGCACACTGAAATGCCCAGAGTGCCTAGCAAAAACAATAGCGGGATATGACAGACATCAGGGAGTGGTGAGGACCATGGCACGATGGAAAATGCATGCCTTATCTAAATGCAGCCACTGCTCAGCGCTCCAGGTGATGCAGGAACATACGTGCATTACACAGGCTGGGTCTGCTGCTCCTTAGATAAAGAACACACCTTCAGAACTGGGGGGATCGCAGGAAGAGGTCACAAAAGGACTTACGATTTGGACACATTAGGTGAACTAAGGGAGGATTCAAGGAAGCTGTTTAGGAAGTAGGGGATGACTGGGTACCTTAGTAAGGTGAGAAAATGAACTGAGGCTAAAGCTATCATTCATAAAGAAGTGTATTAGAACAGGGAGATACCTGGTTATTTTTGCAGACTGGACAATGTTCATGTTCTTCTCTGTGTGCAGGCACAATTACAAAATGGGTCTTTTGACTTTGGTCACGGAGCATGTAGGTATTCTGCAAGATTATTCAGCAGGACAGAGACCCCACTTTTAGTAGCAAGTCAGCTCCTGGATGGCAGGCATTGCTTTTCCTCCCTCTAATTGTCAGATCATTGTCACTAAGGTCTTTTAGGCCTAAATTTGAAGTAGCTGAGGACACATTTACCTCTTGAACACAAGCAGAGCTCAGAGGGTTTAACTTGAACTCTTCTTAAGAAGTGAGCATCTGGTAGGCTTTCCATCTTAAGTAAGGGTCAGGTTGCTGTAGTTGGTTATACCCTGAGGTCAGAGGGTTGAGTAACAGGGAACTAGTGGATTAATCTCTCAGGATCTATACCACTTCCTTCTGTAGCTGGGGCTCCTGTGGTTAATCTTGTAAAGACTGCTGAACTGGTTTCTAGGTAGTGGCACCATTTTACATTCCCACCCGCAATCCTACTGATACTTGTTATTTTCTATCTTTGTGATTACAGCCATCCTAGGGGATGTGAAGTGGTACCTCATTAAGGTTTTGATTTGCACTTCCCTAATGATGTTGAATATATTTTCCTGTGCTTATTTGGCCATTTGCTTATTGTCTTTGGAGAAATATCTATTCAAATCCATCGTGCCTTGGGTTGTTTTTTCTCTTTTTATTGTTCTGTAAGAGTTCTGTGTCCTGGATACTAGATTCTTAACAGATACCCAATCTGCAAATAGTCTCACCCATTCTCTGGAGTTTGTTTACTTGATCAACTTTGAAGTACAAAAGTTAGAGTCTGCTGAAGTCAAACTTATTTTTCATCGGCTGCTTGTGTTTTTGGTGTTGTAGCTAAGAAACCACTGCCTAGTCCAAAGTTATGAAGATTTACACCTGTTTTCTTCTAAGAGCTTTATAGTTTTAGCTCTTACATGTAGGTCTTGGATCCATTTAGTTTTTGTATCAGAGTATGCACAGGATCCCAGGTGATGTACATGCACAATGAAGTTGAGAAGCACTGCCTTCAATTACTAATAAATTCCCATTTCCCTTTAAGTAAGTTATTCTAACCGTGGCAGCATATTACAGTCACTTCAGCTTTAAAAACTTACGCCCGACATTACCCACAATAGAACAATTCCACTTAGTCTGGAGCAGGCTTATTTTGTCACCTCTACAGTTGCTTCTGATGTGACGCCAGGGTTGGAACTGCTTCCTCTTCACAGATTACGGATTTCACCCGCATGCCTTTGCTCGGCTGGTTTGCACCTACTGTCTGCTTTCTATGTGACGTTTGGATTTCCAAAGGTACCACATTAAGACTGGGATGGGTGGTCACAGTGCGTACAGTACACGAGACCGTAAGCTTAGTGTCTGGATGGGACACAAATCACATTTTGATCA